TGAGATATAGGAATGCCAACCAATCAAAGCACTGCCTTCAACATATTCACTACGATCCAGTTTAACAATGACTTTTCATAGTGATTACAGCACATGTTACTGTCAATCTTTATCAAAGACTAACCAGTAAGATTTAGGGACAGGTCTATCACACCAGATGCTTTACATAACTTGTTTGCATCTTTTCACACTCCCAGCAAAAGAAAAAAAAACATTTGTAAAAACAGATCAGGTTAACAGTCTCTTCAGGGGCACTGCCCTCTTGCATTGAATGACAGTCTAGGGAATATGATCTCAAGCGTCAGCACTTTGCAGTTAGTTCTAAGAGTTTTCTCAGTTGCTTGTAATATAGCATAGCCATAGTCTCAATACAGGTTTGGTATTTTTCTAAAATCTATAACTGTAGTAATTAAGATAGCTTTGGTAAAATATCCTGTAATTTCTGATGATGTCGGTCAAAAACCCCAGAGAAGAGAACATGGTATTGCAACCTCTTGTTTAATATGCAGCCCATGTCTCCAAATCTTGAGTAGCTTGCTGCATTCCATGTGGTAATAGGCCTGATACAGTAATGGAGCTTCAACATTTTAGGCTTTGTAGCTCAATACAGATAAAAAGAAGTCCTACGTGAAATTCCCTGCTAATGAGAATCCAAATATTATACAACTCTTCTTCATAGCAATATGTACAACATTTCAGTCTATTCGCTCTAGGAGAGTTGCCACTATCATGCACCATTAAGGGCAATCTAAAAAAAAAAAAAAAAAAAACTCTTGATGGACTGCGCTTTATCAGAGACCAGTGCAGTCTGGAGGTAAATGCCTGTTACAAGCTCTGATGGACCTCTTCTCTCCCAGTGATACAAGTCACTTAATGATTAAAAGCATGTGTGTCTATAGATATAAACATAAGGGGTGGTGCTTTGTTTGAAATACAATAAAGAGAAGACTACACAAGATATAAATTACTTAAATTATGCATTTTACATTTACATTTATCGTCAATTAAGTTTGACAAAAAAGTTCAAATGAAGCCAGAGCAGAAAACAAAAGACTACATTTCAATATTTTTACAAGAGCAAATCACAGTTACAGTACACTCACTCTCTCCTCAAATGTGACTTCAAACAATCATCCTTATTATGCTGCCAAATTGTTATATGGATTTGGATTATGTTTAAATAGGGTAGCGTCTCAAATCCAACTAAAGCACCTATGCCCATGTGAAATGTATACGTCCATCCTTACAGTGGGCGTGCGTCAATCAACTTTAATGTCGTTTACAGGTATGGCACGGCAGTTTCTGTCATAAAACACAGCATGGCATACCAAATAGTTGTAAACATGTCACATCAATGTGGAGCAAAGGGAGCAGCGCACCCAGGATGCGTCTAAGCAGCTGAGCTGGTATCCGCCCGTCAATAAACCGAGCAAAATTTAGCACAATGGTCCAACTTCTGCCTGCACAGTATAAAAGAGAGAAAATCCCCACCGTCACATCCTAGCACAGCCTAAGCTTCACGATCTGCAGAGGGATACGGTCATTTGTACACAACTGGAGAAACCTTTGATAAATAAAGGCAGTGAAAACTGAATAAATACATAAAATATACCTGTGTACTGCAAGAGAAACATTCTCCAAAACAGCGACGAACGTTTCCCGTTTGTCCTCCACACGATGCAAATCCGCGAACGGGCTCAATCTGTGTATCTGTGTTGAGTCAGTACACCGTGCTCTGCTCCGCTCGGCAGACTGGACTGCAATGAGAGCAGCCAGTCAAAGCAGGACCTTTCAGTGCGCACCCGCCCTCCCGGCGTGCCCCGCCGCTCCAGTCACATCACACCGAGGCAGCAGCGCCGAGTGTGAAGGGGGTGAACTTGATCTGAATACGAGGGTCCGTGAACGACCGTGAACGCAAACACGGCAGCCTACTGTTCTGTTATGAGGCTCATGCTTTAACACAAACACCACGAAACCATCAAAATCACTGCGCGGCATTTAATGTTCCGTGATTGACTTCAGTCCCCAAGTTTCTACAGCCAAGCCTAATGGTGCCATTCTCTAGACCACCACTGGGAGGGGGAAGAGAATCAAGAAAAGCACAAGGAAACAGTAATAATAAGAAGCCTTCAGCCACACTGAATGTGTAGCTAAAGCTGATGATAGATTTATTAAATGTGTAACAGCACCTAGTGCAATCAGCAGTGTTATCCAAAAGCTCAGTAAAAGCCAGCAATGCTACATGATTTAAGTTAGAGCTAATTATTTCGAGTAGCATCACATATCAAGGAACACAATCTCCCTCTATTACCAAAATACGACAAAGCCCAACAAGATCCAGTTAGTCCAGTACAAATTGCTTTAAAAAAACCTCCTGACATAGGTGCATGAATAAAATGATTGGCCTATGCCATTGCAATACAATATGCAATTGTTTAAACATTCTAATGCAGCAAAACTGGGCAAAGTTCTGTGACAGAAACAAACTCAAAAGCCCCAATTATATGACTCATCACACCCTGTATCATCATAACCATTTTTAAAAGCCAAGCCAGTTAGTAATGTTTATTTTTCAAACTGAGCTGCAGCACAGAGACGCAGGGAATAATTTATTGTTTTGCATAAAAGGATGTTTCACAGTAAACATTTTCATTATCCCAGAATCATCATAAATTGTTTATTTCCAGGCATTGCTTCTTGCCAGGGAGACAAAAGTCATCCTGAGTAAACAGCCTGTGCGTGTTTCCATTTAATTTTAGAAAAAAATTCTGAATTTCCTGAAAAACGCACCCACAGTGGTTTGGCAAATCATTCTAATCGAACAGTGATGTGAGTGTCCATCTCAGTGGATAAAAGCAGCTTTTATGACCTGAGCAAGAGCATGTCCACACAGCCCACTTTATACAACTCATGAGCTTTGAAGCACTGGATGATGCACAGTTTTTCATGAAATAGATTAGACTAAAAGAACATAACAATAATGCTGCCATGGCAAATAATGCAGAACAAGCCTCGGTGGAAAAAAATAAATTTTCTTTGTTGAGCGTCCAGGTCTAAATGTGACTGCACAGCACTTTTTAAAAACTAACAGAAGCACATGCAGTAGCCTTTAAAACACCATACATTATGTAAAGTTGGTGCATGCACTTGCACTTGGCGTCTTCCCCTTTGACATCAATAGCGGTGTGCGTGTGTCTTAGTGCAGTGGAACAATGGGAAAGGCCATTATCCCATTACCCTTCAGGCACAGGCACAAATATAGCTGTCCTGGAGATGGAGGACATTTCAAACTTGGATTGTCTCTAGTTATGGCTGCCCTCTCTGTCCTAATCCCTGCCTTTATAATGACACAGTTCTTGTCCTCCTCCTCTCTCCTCTGCTCCAGACGGATGGACACAAATGATCATATGCACAGGAAAGGTGGAGGTGACTTCCAGCTTCAGTCACACCTCATTAGGAGGGCTTCACTGTGGCCCATTCCCATACTGGTGTGCTCCCATGGGGAATATAATTGGGGAAATGACATGGAGCCTGGGAAACTGCAGCTGAGCTCTCTATAGATAGCATGGGGGAAGTGAGTTACAATTACAAAAAAAAAAAAACAAAAAAAAAAACACATAAGTATAAAGCAGCATTAAGCAAATCTTAAAATTCAGCATAACCATTAGCAAAAGACGAAGCAAATGAAACTACATTTTAAATAGCCTTAATAAAGCATAAACAAAGACTTAAATCATAATGAACAAATAGCCTGAATTATTCTTAATACACTACTTGTTCATTACGAATTAAGTCCTTGTTCATGCTTTATTACGGTTAATTAACATGTAGTTGATGTACATGTAGTTTTGTTCAGTTCAGAAAATACACAGCTCCTCTGATACAACAGCCAATTCATTTCAATAACATAGATCAGTTACACGTACATATCTTGTAGGTTTAAAATGGAGAACGCTGTTTACTCACGTCTGCAGTAGATCAATAATTCAGCTTTTCATGTGGAATCCATTTTAAAACAGAATATTGTATTAATCTCAAAAGCTCACATTAAAAAGAACCTTGAAATATGACTCCTTCAGGCTATATATAAAAATATAAAATTCATTACTTGAGTGTTTTCTTTTCCAGAGGAGTAGCTATAGAAGTAATACTTGAGTAACTATAGAAACAGTAAATGCACAAAGGGCAGGGAGCAGGTCATATTTTGAGCTGTTACTGCTCTGTGTGAGTGGAATGGGAAAAGACTCATCAGAAAAAGACTTGGAACAAAAGCGCTTCTGTGCTGCACCTTTCTCTCTAAAGCAATCCATAGTGCTTCCTGACTGCACAAGGCACAACCCGAACACAATGTACAGAGTGATTCTTTGTTTTTGAAAAGAAAATTGAAAGGAAATTTACACACTTTAAGTTTAATGTTTAGTACAGCACAGTAAAAGGTTGTGTTTTACATGTGTGTTTAGTTTGTCTTTGTAAAAATATGTTAAGGGAATGAAAAGTCTGTCCATTAAAGGTCTATGATAGTAGCTAACCATCCCTTCAACAAGCCTGCAAAGAGTATTACAATTATTATTATTATTAACATCAACACTAGGTTGGCCCCCCGCACACTTAGCTCCACCTCTTCTTCTCTCAGAGCCGCAGTCGTGCTGCTGTCCAGTGCTCGTAAACAGACTACGTGCTTAAGAAATAACCTAAAGATAATTTTTAAGACTATAACACACAGGTGCATGGCTCAAAATATGAAAGGCTTATGCCCAGCGCGTGTGGAGCGTGTGCAGCTAGTGGTGAGAGAGAGAAACAAATGTACTGCACTGAATCAAAGGGGATATGCATGCACTAGTCCGGACCACAGTCTATGGACATAGTTAACTCGAAGCCTTTGCGTTTCCTTGGATCCCAGTATTGCTCAATATTAGAAATAAAAATCTAAGTATATCCTTTACAAACCATCAACAGTTTGGCATAAAGATCACAGCCACAGGACACAAAGGGCTTCTTACCTGAGCGTGACGTCGATCTGTAGTCTTTGTACATCTTGGACGAGCAGCCTGATCCAGAGTCTAAGGTCTTCTGCTGGAGGCCTGTTTAGGACACACAAACAAGAAGAACACAGTCAGATCACTCACTGTTGGTTTAGCTGAGAAATCAGGCCATGGAGCTCAGCAGCTGAACTTGTTTATTCTGTCATTGTGAGTGCTGAGAGTGGAACAGCAATACAAGCTAAAATAACAGTGGTTTGGTTTTATATACTGTCAAAGCAAAGAACACAGCAGCAAAGTGTAGTTTAGCCTTTTTCTTTCAAATGGCAAAACAACCTTGCCTAGTGAGTGGTGTGGTCCTCTTTACTTACTTTGTTTTACTATTTTTTGTTATATTTTCATGCATTGTATTTAATAATTTATTGCGGTTATTATTTTATTGTTTTTTTCTTAATAAAAACTGGTGGAGCTGAATATAAATGGTCACAGTTATATAGCTTTTATCTACATTTAAAGAGTTCCCTTGCCAAGGACACAACAACAGTATTCACCTGTGGAAGCTAAAATCGCACCACCAACTGACTGTTTTCCCAATGATGTTTTATGACGAGAGTGGGACTTGAACTGCTGACCTTCAGACCTTCAGATCAGAGGACGGCCACACTTCTTTTTCTTTTTTTTTTTTTTTTTACCATGGGAACCACAGTGTAGTAGACTACAGACATTGTTGGTTCACTAAAAACATGTCCAGTCGATCAATTTTTGGACTAAAAAGGGGGTGTGGCAAAAGCTCTCAAAACTATTACATATCTCTGGGTATCTGACCCGAACTGCACTCAAGACTACACCTGCACGGGAGTTCATGCAAAAACAACCTTTTATGCTGCTAGTCTCATATGAATCCTTACAATCCAAATAAAGACACCAGATCAATTAAGACACCATAGACTGTTAAATCAATTGAACAAATAAAGCACTGTAGCCCTATGGTGTAGTCAACCACTGTATGTTTATAAAATGTGCTATATAAAGAAAGAAGGAATGGATTTTGGATGACTATGCAGTTAAAACTGAACTGACTCACCATAACCCAAAATGAGACTTTAAAAGATGGAAGTAAGGGATTCTATGACACATTTTATTCCACTGAAAAGTGCCCAGATGCTGAAGTGATGACCAGAGTTAATGGTTTTGTGCAGTTATGATCATCTGCATCGGTCACGCCCTGCCAGCAGTCTCAGACTCCTCAAAGAAGCGGTTGCCCCAGGTCTGGCACACTTACCGTGGAATTTGTAGAGAGAAAAAGTATGTCATTTAAATTAAGAATAGTTTAATTTTAGACAGATCAAGCTAAACCTAAATACACGGTACAAAGCAAGGCTCACAACAGTAGTTCCACACAAAGCAATCATGTCAAAAAGCAACAATTTGACATTTGTCTTTTTGATGTGTCGTTTTGCACAGACATGATTTATTTTTGGTTCAGTAAATTGAGGTAATTTCTTTGACCTTAAAGAATAAAAACTGCAAATCAAGAACCACCATTTGGAAATTGTGCACACTGCAGAGGACAAAAGCTGAAAAGAAACAGCATCATGCAAGAGAAAAAAATACCAATTTGTGAAATGAAAAAATGAAAAGGATAAGAAAAGAATAGTGTTGTCATGATACAAACATTTCAAACTTGAAAGTAAAAGGCTCGGTACCAATTTTGATACCACAATGATAAACAAAACAAGACAATAGATTCAACTTATAATTTTCAACACAAAATAATTAGAAGCAGTAGTTTCTTTAATATTACCTTGACCAGCTTTATCAGCTAAAGATCTAGATCACTCTTAAACAGGAAAGACCATTTTTGTTTTATTTTTGCTTTTTTTTTCTGTATAAATGCCTGATAATCTTATTTCAATGCTAGTTTAAGTATCAATCATTAGGTATTGATTATTTGACAACCCTATGTGAGAATGTTGTGAAGTGAGAAATGGGTCATAAGCTATTTTACTGACAGGTCTCCTTTAAAGCACTAGTTAAAAGCACAGGACATTTATGAGCGTGTTGCTTGTCACTTCAGTTTAACAGTCTGAAGATGTTTGTTTACTGATCTTTTATCAAATTTAATGGTATTTCTAAACAACTTTGACTATCTCTACCATAAAATACAGATCTATGCCCTCACTCACTGTCTTAACAGATAAAGTTGAAAGCGGTCAATAAAGAAATCAATCAGCCTTGCCTAGCCTAAGGTGTTTTTTATTGTAACCACTTTGCTGTCCCAGTGAAATCACTCTGACAGCTGTGGAGCTTGTAACCTCAGTAATGACATCAAACCTGTGAACACCTGGTATGCATTGGTCGCCTAAGGTAATAAAGGTGGTTTGTTTAAGTTCAAATTATTCATTTAAAACAACTTAATAAAAGAAACAAGTTTGCCGATTTCAGCGTTAGCAAATGTCACCGTAATGCCATCACAACAAAGAACCATGAAGTCTCTATCAGCTATCCATCTCTGATGAATAGCTGTAGATCAAGTTAGCGAGTAGCAGATTTTTTATTTGTACCAAAATGACTACGCAATGCTGGTGAATTTAAGAAAATAAAATTGGAGAACAAAGCAACCCTTCACTATTTTGTCTGTAAATAAATTCCTATTCCTACTTAAATTCCTATTCCTAACTCTGTTCCAAATTCACTCCTATAACTGCTAGCCTCATGAGATTCATTTGACTAGAACCGAACATTATAGGTGACATCACACTCCCTTTACATGGTCTATGGTAAGTACAGACAAACATAAGTTTGGCCTCACTAGAGAGTAATATGATAAAACAAAAACATCTTTCATTGCAAATAAAAATGCTCCCAACTGAGAAAACCAAGCAGCCTTGCCTTGACAGCTCTTGTGTTTGTTACTAGCTCTGGATGAGTGGGGCGCTGTGAGTCACTGACTATAGGCTATGTTTTTTTTTTCACAGTAATGAGGTGGAAAATGTTCTGATTTGATTAGCTTTGTTGACTTACACAAATGACGCCGACGGGACCATGACTTTCTTTCAAACACAAGCTTTTCCTGGAGATGGGCAGGCGCTTCACTCTTGATGACATGAAAGAACTGAAAAAATAAAATAAAATCCTCACATTTTCTTGGGAGCCAAAAGTAGCAAATTGGTTGTTTCTACTTTATCAATGTTCGCATCCCAAATGAAAATAATATTAGTAATCCACCTTGTGGGCCAGCCTCCTGTGTGTCCTGGCACATTTCTTTTTTTGACTGACGGATTTTGAAACACTTCATAAGCCAAAGCTACTATCTCTCATGGAACAAGGCACAGCGTTTCCCACAGGTGTATACTGAGACTATGGTGGTACAAGTGATCCATATTTGAATAATTTCACTGAATACAGATTATGGAGAACAAATGTCACATACTGCCTCTCTTGATCAAAAAACAACAGATTAAAGATTAAATATACTATCAATATATTTATGACAATTCTACAAAAAGTTCAAATTGTTTTTTTTAGACAATGAGAGCCCACCATAGTCTCATCGGTTAATAAAAAATACTCAAGGAGGCTGTTTGCAAAGGCTCCACAAATCCTATACATTTGTATGAAGCTACAATGACAAACAGCACATGATTTGAGACTATAAGGTTGACTTTGAGTAGAGTGTCTCCAAAAACATTTGATTGATAAAGAGAATTTGCATTATTGACTAAATTAGACAGGGAACAACTCTGAATTGAATGTGTCTTTGTTGGTCAAACAAAGTTGCTTCTTGTCACAAACAAAATGGCACAATGCTACATGCTTGAGAATTTGAACGAGCTTTCAGTGTCACCAAGTTTACCAAAATACGATGATAAGTTACGCAAGGCCACTGGCTGAAAGGTGCTAATTATATATTTTTGGGTTTGTAAATCCAATGGTATCGCAGTGATTTCAGCTATTAATTTGTCAGACAAATAAAACGCAAGCATTAATCAAGAATGCTGCTTTCAACACAGAGCACAGAGCGTTCGTTCAGCACATTCTCAGTAAGCGAGCTGAACGGTGCATTTTAGATGAGAAGAGTTTGATGATGTGACTTGGCCTTCAACGCAACATTGCACCATTAACATTACGTTGCTGCCAAACTAGAGACACTACATCAGAGTCATGGGTTTAGAAAGCAGCTTGAATTTTAAAGAGATGGGATGGGAACAAATGAATGGGCAAAAAGACTTCTAAGACAAAACCTGGATGACATATATCAACTGAGGTGCACTAGATTAGGGCTACATAAAATATGACAACTGGATCAAAACTGCAATTTGAGTTGGAGCATCCCGTCTTTTCAGAAAAATCTTATACTTGAACTTTTGGACGTCTACAAAAAATGCATGGGATTCTTGTGTTAGTTCCTCAGTTCATATTTGAGTCTTCTCGCAAATGTTTATTGCTCCTTGAGTTGTTTACAATGTGCACTCTCAATGGAATTTTTAAACATACATTGCCAATCTAATCGCCATGCAGCCCTACTCTGAATCCAGGAAATGTCCATGGGGCTAATTTGCATCTACTGTGTGCTTCATTGAAATACAGTTATTGTTGCAGCAGTGCTCTGAAACCATGATGTGTACAAGGACAAACGCACAGCGAATTCTAAGCCTTAATCCCAGTTTCATTTGGATTTCACTTTCTTTGGTCGACTTCAGAAAGCACTCACAAACATGGCCATGAACCACTCACCCAAAGAGCTGCTGAAGCGGTGAAAGCTTTCTAATGTCTCACACAGGACTGAAATGAGTGTATAGTGTTGTCATAAGCACCAAACAACTAAAAACAACAAGGCCAAAGACATCCCAAAGTCAGAGGAAAGTTTAAAGTAGAGCTGTGCAATTAATGGAATTTTAATCGAAATCGAGATTCAATTATTCCTAATCACCAATGATGTGCTTGGGGCTTTATAACTGAGAGGTCTGCCAATCTGTCAGTAATAGCATGTGGTTTGAAGCAGAATTCAAACGTTTAAGAAAGTTAAGTTAAAGGGGAATGATTAGTAATGTCTGTATTGTTTATGTTCAGAAAATTAATATTGCAAGTCAGTTAACAAGACAAGCAAAACTGAATCGAAAATTTAGATCAATCAATATGAGGAAAACATACATTTTACTATTTGGCATAAAACATTAACAATGTGAGTTAATTAGACAAGCTTTGCGGCCAAGTGGAAAAAAAAAAAATCAACATTGAATCTCTAATGCTTCACTGACCAGGGTCACAAAATGCCTGCTCTGCACCGACCCCAATCTCCGGCTGCACCCGCTCCTCCTCAGAGCACACACTACAGAAACCATTAGGAGTAATGAGAATCGATGAGGATTCAGGAGCAGCTCCAGGTGGCGTCTTTATTAGTCTGAAAACACAGAGGTGCTCTCTCAGATTTAAGTGAAAGGTCTAACAAATGCACCACTATGGAGGATGCAATTCCAAAAAACATTGCAATCCTCAGAATTACATATTGGTGACACATTCAAACAATAATAGTTCATGAATTAGTGTGATTGAATTGCTGTATTAAGTATTTCAGATCATGATATCATCATACCTTTGCCTATAATATAGTTTATTGTTTTTGAGTGTTTTAAATAGCGCATGACAAATTTAATATCCAAATACTAATGGAGACTAGATACCCATTGGAGCAGGAGCAATCGATACTGAAAAATGTACCGGACAATTATTTTACTTTCCTGAATCGAGTTCAGGAAACTAAAATAATAATAAGCTGTATATGTAATATATGAACTAGTTTAAGGCCACATAGTAAAAACAATTTCTTAAATGTGTGCCCTAATTGTATTATCAAACCCAAATGAGTATTGAGTCTTTTCTTTTATTGAAATTGAGTTTAAAATTTTAATACAAAGTAACACAAACACATATAGTCCATCTTCAAGTGACAGTTACACGAAAGCCCGACTGAAATTGCTCTGAACACATCACAGGAGGAGATGAAGTCTAAAACTATAGACCTCCTGGTTCACCCCTGCATGTCAGTGCCAGCGCAGCAGAGTTACTGGGCTATGAAATTAATTTAATTCACACCTTTCAGAAACATCACAGAAGATTAGTGTCCACCCAGAGCTGAGAAGATGTACCCTAAAGCTACAGCAGAGTTTAAATAAGTGACCAATAGGACTGATGGAGTCTATTGCAGAGAGGTGATGGGACCAATTTCAACTGTTCATTCTGCAGCAGGAAATACAGGGACAAAGGTCAGTGTAAGGAGAAAACTGAATCTTTTATGAAACCTTGTGCTACGCTTTGAAATAAAACTGCTCAGGTTTTTATTTCATCTCATTCAAGGTCACTGGGAGAATTGTATCTTAGACAAGTGTGCATTATAAAAATGGAACTACTCATTTTAGTCTCTTAGGAAACATATAGCGCTTTGCCCTTCTGTAATAATAATAAAAAAAAAAAAAGTGATTCATAATACACACTGAACAACTGAACATGCGGCAAAAAGAGTAAAAAACTGCATGAGCCCATCTGATATTTATGAGGGGGCTGGCTATAGTTAAAGTTAGGCAAACCTTGAATTTTTCCTTTGTGAAATCAGATTTTTCCATTGTTCTTTGCTTGGAGCTATATAAATGGTTATGCCCTGTATTGAATTAAATAATGATTGCAAGAACTTTAAAAGCCTCAAAACAGGCACACAGACAAATATGGTAAATAGGATACATAACCCTTTTCTGTACAGGCAAAAAATGCCAGTGTGTCCACCAGTAAAATGTAGGGCCATTATATAGAGTCACCAATTTTTTCAATTCAAAAGTCTGATTGAAAGGCATAAAAAACGCTATGCTTCAAAAGGAAATGCTAATATTTCTAGGTTTAGAAATGCACTTCATATGAGCACTTTGAAAGCAGAGGTAAACCACATAAGACATATAGCAAAACAAAAACTGACCATCTGCTGGAAAGTTCGAATGAATTATGTAATGGGTTAGGGCTGCAAAAGGAATCTCCATATTGCAAATAAACAACAGAAATGTTTCCAATCTCCATCGCACAAGAGACTGTCAAACATCTTTCACAAAAATGTACACTGAAAAAACAAATACACCACAATACCAGTTTGAAATAGGCTATGATGCACATTGGAATACCTAAGATCTGTATCTTATAGTTGGTAACGCATTATGTGTTCATATGTTCATTGCAGCAGTTCTTCAATGTGACTTTATGTTAATTCTTGGAAATAAACTGTCCTCTTGATGGAGAGCTGATGCATTGTGTTATTGGTACTTGAAAGCTGTGGCGCTATTACATTATATAACACCAACTCTGCAATAAAACGCACCATGCAGCCAAATGGGGAGGTAGAAAAACATATAAGTAGGCAACTGAAAAATACTAAATTATCCATTTCTATTACAGGCCTATAATATTGTAGTCTTTGCAACTTGCAGCCAATAGTTGTAGAAGCTGACAGGGCAACTTGTCTAGTGATGCAAAGTCAATAAAAGTCCATCCAATCATCTTACCTCTTACATAATTCAAAAATATGAACACAGTTTTTGACCATGTGTTTGTGTATTTAGTAACAGACCGAACTAATCGCCTGTGCAGTTTAACAGGAAATGTGGCACCTCATTTCATTAAATCAGATAAATTACTATAATCGAGTTAGTGTCGTTTTAGTTTTCACAATAACAACCCCCAAGCTCATTTAAACTACAAAATCGAGCAACGATAAGCGACAAAAATATAGCGTTACTTAGTTTTTCATCACCCAGAGAGATCATTAAAACACAGATATGTAGCATTCCCAGGGCTAACGTGTATTAGCAACTAGCACGAGAGAGCGCAACTGTGCTAAATATACCTCAAAGTGCGTGCGATCCCACGCGTTTGCAGTTTTCCGACGCGCCGAAAGTCTGTAAAGGAGTCGACGTGAAGTCTCTGTTGCCTTTATCCACTTCTGTCTTCAAACCATGGACCTATTAAGGTGCCAAACACGTAGAAGCTTCTAGCTAACATCCCAAAGCGATCGCGAAAAGTAACTACGGCAAGCGAGAGGGAGATAAGACACGTGTCTTTTGTTGACGTTTTTTCAGCACCATGCAGAAGAAAGTAAGGACCAGATTTTCAAATTTCAAAAATGGGACTTACCCGGGTTGGGATGTTTGGTATAAATAATATTCTGAAAAGAGCGTGAAACATTGTGCATTCTCGTGTCACTCATCTGAGGGATTTGTGTCGCTGTATTTTTTAATTTATTTATTTTTTTTGCTTTATGGTCATTAGCAAATGTGGTTTTCTGTATTTTGGCTAAACAAATTTATGCTCCTCTTTACTGTTGGCAGGGATGAGATTTGTCAAAAAATTTTAGTCCTGGTTTAGACCTGTAGTTTAAACTGGTCAAAACACCTTGGACATTTCTTGATAAAACTGGGACAAAACACTGGTTTTGTATAAATCTGCTGGGAGAGGGAACACAGGGCTCTAAGCTGGGACTGTCCTGGGTAAAAAAGGGATGTCTCGTCACCCTAAAAGAAAGTCAACAGTGCATCACAGGACAAACGCCCAAAATGTCCAGTAAAAGTAAGTAACTATTAAGCCTATAAAAATAAATTATAGTGTCTACACCCGTCTAGAGTGGCCATCTGAAATGTGAAAAAAGAGGACGGCTTTGACGGATTTGGGAAATATAAATTTATAGATAACACCATATGTACGTTTAGCAATCGTAACGCACATTGGAATAGCAATAGACACCAACGTAACTTACAACCCATATAGCAATCCACCCAGAAAGTCTTTATTTATAAATCTCTATCTCTTTGTAGATCTCTGGAGCATTTTTTAAAATGGTGGAAGGAGGGACAGAGCAGACAGATAAACTTTATAATGTTCACATCCCTGATATTCAATAGGATTTATTGTTTTAGAATCAATACTGTATATATAATAGGACTATATTTAAAATAACAAAATACAGAATGCCTAAAAGGTTATTTAGTAAAGCACTCTTTAGAATTATAATCTTCTCTTCAGAATAGTAAAAATCTGTTAAGTCTATGTTGCCCCTTCTTTATGTGTTTTTACTATTGTAGTGGCAAAGCTCCTTTGGAGATGCCAAATTATCATAGAGGGATTATCAAACGTGCCAGAGCCATTCCCTCCTCAATAAGTGTCTGGCACATTTTAAGACAGAGAAGGCAATGTACCAGGACAGATTAGTGAATCCCAGTGCACTACAAACTACTCTATTAAGTTCTTATATAGGCTAATACTATCCTGCATAATCCCTGTTTCATATAGAGGTGTAATGTTACCTGTTTCACACTTTTCACACATGCAGGTGAAAATTAGAACAGCACAGACACATTGTTGTGGAAATAATGGTGTATAAGACAGTATGTATGTGTGATTAATTTTGATTTATCTACCAAAAAGACTTTATCTTGATTTCCTTTATGCCTATATGTTTAAGATTCTTATTCCAATATAAAGAAAAACTCTTACTCTCTCTTACTGCCATGTCTTACCACTGACTGACAGGTAAATTATCTGGACATCCATCTATGCTTCGCAAAGAGGAGTGTTTAAGTGCATGTGGGAGAATGCAGCACAATTAAAGTGTCCAGCCTCCACAAATGTCATTATATAGATGCAGATGTAGCCTACTTGATCCTTCATTTCTACATTTTTCTGAACTCCCATTTAGCTTTTTTTTTTTTTTTTTTTTTTTTTAAATGCCTGTAGCAGTTAGTGTTGTCCCAATACTAACTTTTTAAACGATATTAAGGAATAGGCTCGATACTCAACACAAATAATTTTTAAAAACGCTTCTTTTAGACAGTAATGTAATTATCAACACAAAATAATAGTACTTTCTTTATGTTACCAAAACTTCAGATATGCCAAAGTCCTGTTAATGCATTTTTAAAAGTAGCAATACATTTTCTACTAGTAGTTATTCTGTAATAGGTGAAAATGAAAGTAAAGTGAATAATAAGCATAACTCAGCACTGATATTCACTCATAATGTAATTTGTTATTTCTTGTCATGTAAGAGAGATCAACCAAGAATTTGAGGAGAAGACAACTCGGCTAATACAGAAGAAAAAGCCCCAAACCTACATGACTTTAGTCATAGTTTTGTATTATAAATTCTGCAGATTTCTGAGCAGTGTGTCCAATTACTGAAAATTATGCTGGAGTTTGAGAATGTACTATGAAACTGATTAAACTTTATGAAATCACTGAAATTTTGAAGAGGAAAGTGGAGCCATGGAGATAATAAAACTGTGACTAATCATTAGCATTATATTATTCAGTGACCCTTCTCTCTCTCCAAGGCTGTACACTAGATTAAATTTGGAATTGGCTCTTACAGGAAAAGAGTAAAAAGATAACCAAACAAGATTTAACAGTGGGCAGCAAAACCATCTAAACTGTTTTATTATGTGCAGATAACACACATAGTTAAAGAGATGAGATGAACAAATGTAGAGTTCAGCATTAGGGCTAATACTATACAATACTAACACTTTCTATCACTCTGTACTCCAGAAATCCAAAGCAGCTCCAAATATATCTCCAAACAAAGAGATCATAAAACAAGCGTCTCGAAGACTGAATAAATAATCTGATCCTACATTCATTGTCTCTGTATTACAGTTATAGCCTCTCACATTGTTAATATTGTACAAATAGAGGAAATCTGATCTTACAAGGACATTTATCTAATGTTTGCAATAGAGACAATTGCATTCATTTGTAATAGCTAAAAGTGTACCATTTTATCCAAAGAAAGTGATTACTGAATATTAACCTGACAAGAACTCATTGATATAGTCATCTTACATTTTTAATACGCAGTTTGCTATAGCCTCAAAGTCACAGTTACAAAGAGAGGTAATTCAGACTGGCTATTACTATAGTAGAGAAGTGCATATTTTTTAAGTCTTGACATTTGACATTTTCTTAGTTCTGAGCTTCTCCAAAATGTTCTGCCATTCATCACATTGAAAAGACCACACTTGTGAGACAGCTCTTATATCAAACTTAACTTTCACTTTTCAAAATGACCTGACAGTTCATTGAAAACTTCTCCTGCAAAGACTTTTTGAGCTGTAATTTCACCTGGACAAGGCCATGATGCTATTTGGCACTCGTACCTTAAGTTTTTGATAGCTGGTAAAAGCCCATCCAAAGTAAATGAACAGACAAGGAGCAGACAGAACATTTTGCACTATATAAGGTTAATGTGGGTGATTGAGAAAAAACTCAACTCAATTCAACTAACTCCTGACAAATCTTCAGAAAGGCTCCAACTGACATGAACAATCTTGAATGTAATCATCCTTATATGGGGCAGACTCTTAACACATTACACAACTAGATTGCAAATAATAACCCTTAATAATCATCTATTCAGTTACATTGGTTAGAAAAATAATGACAGCTGATTTAGTACATTTACTCAACTACTTGGCTAAAAGGTGCAGTATAACTTTTGTGGTCTAGGGCATGACTAAAATGCTCTACAACACTCCATTAAACTTATCTTGCTTTTTTTAATTTTTATTTACAGGTGTTTTCAGTGCTTTGAAAATGCATTTGAGTCACCTCTCCGCAGATCTGTCCTATTATGTGGCCTGGTGGCGTCACCTGCTTGCTTTCATGCAGACAACAGCACATGACGTTACGGAAATCCAATAAATTTTAAGATAAATCGTTGTCTTCAATTTAACAACAAAGAAACTCCAAAAGCAGGCTCAATGCCATTCAATGCTGCAAATTCTTCCCAGCCAGCGTGGCGTCCTTAGCATATTTACTCAGAGGCAGATGCTCTATGAATACAGATATAAGTAATTCAAAATACTGACCACCATTTTGCCAGTATACAACAGTACAAAAGAGTCCCTTAAGCATAACCAGATTTTCATGTCCAGTGTTGTTAAACTGATATTTATCCATCTCCATATTTGCTTGGGTGAAAAAAACGCAGCTATAGCTCCAGTTTTATTATCCCTCTTTATCTCCAGATCATGTTTTGGAATTATACGAAGAGTGAGTAGTCTGACTATAAAAAGGCATTACATCGATCTGCTCTGATAAGGCTGATCGTTTTGTTGGTGTGATTTGTTTTAAATGATTTTCTTCTCACCAGGGCACGTTTCCCCAGCCTCTGTCTCATCCCTCAGACAGACAGCTGGTCAATGTTGGAGCTGATTGTATTTGTATTTGCTGGAATTGAGCCATCAGCACTGGCAGTGATGAACTACAGCCTAATACACATTATTCAAGTGTCAAAGAAATCATTACACCTCTGATACTTGACTTGGCCCAATCTTTTCAGTCATAAATAAAGTGGAGGGCATCCTTTCTGACTAACGAAAGTGGATTAGCAACTCAGGAGTCAGTGACTGGATGTAATTACACTATTTGTGCACTGCAGAAGCAAATTACAATAATACTAAATCTTGACTTTTTGCATTATTTATCCACAGAACTCTACAATTTTCAGGATTCGAATATGCTTGGGGGTTTCATGTTTTATTACTTAAAATAATAGTTTATTCACGGAGAACATCTTAGTTTAATTCACTTTTATATGTTGCACAGAAGGATTACGTGTGTGTTGGCATCCACTGGTAATGGATTTTAAGCATGCTGTTTATAACGTGGAGCTTTAGAATGTTGCTAGGAAAGACGTCTTGGTTTCATCAACTAGAGTTGAAATGAGTTCACAAATGTAACTGTTATCACACAATTGTAAGATTAAACCACATTTGTACAATACGGTACATACTTTATATTGCAAACTTTCTAAAGTTTTAATGATGTTCATAGTGATTTATGAAGCAGTAAGTAGAGAAAATAGGATCAGGTGCAGCCACTGTTATTTCTCTCTCATTCTTTGCTGAAATTTTTCAATAACTTATCATATTCCAGTATCCTACTGTCATACTGACTGCAGTATTTTGACATCTTATTATGATGAGAGAAATTAACAGCCAATTAAAGTCACTGTA